ATGTCACTGCCGTTGGCGCAACCATGAACTTTGAGCCAGAGGAGAGCGCATACCGCCCTTCGCGCAACACATCTGCTGGTTTCCGTGACCTCTACTCTAGCGGCGCTGGCTTCAGCAACTACTTTGCCCGCCCCTCATACCAAGATGGCGTTGTACCCAAGTATGTCAAGAGCCTCGGCAACACATACGAGGGCCTGTACAACAAGACTGGTCGCGGATACCCAGATCTCTCTGCCCAGGGTCTCTACTTTGCCTACTTCTGGAACGGCACCGAGGGCACCATTTCCGGTACTTCGGCTTCTTGCCCCTTGACCTCTGGTATCTTTTCGCTTGTCAACGACGCCCTGATTGCCTCTGGCAAGCCCGCGCTTGGCTTCTTGAACCCCTGGCTGTACAAGAAGGGATACAAGGGCCTTACCGACGTCCAGAAGGGATTTAGCTACGGATGCAACGTTCAGGGTTTCCCCGTTACCAAGGGCTGGGATCCTGTTACCGGATTCGGCACGCCTGATTTCCCCAAGCTGCTCAAGCTCGCTGGTGTAGACAAGTAAATGTAATTCTTCTTTTGATGAGGTGGAAATCCTTGGGACATGGAAAAAAAAAAAGGGGGGGGGATGTGTCTAATATGTATATATGAGTATATTCATCATGGCTAGGTTAGGCTATGTACGTAATCATGAAATGAAATCAACAACCGCATATTGTTCCAAATGGTGTTTTGCATCGTGATTGGTTGTTCCAAATGCAACAAACGCAGTTCATTTCGTCATTCAGTTAAGGTTAGCCCCTTTTCAACTTGCACCGCCTTCTTCATCAGGCGTATTCGTTCAGCGTTTGATCGTGACAGAGGGACGTATTCTCGGCAATTTTCATCCAAGGCGTGAGTGAGCAAACCATGGGTATGGCTAGTACTGTATCCCATTCGAAGTAGCAACGTCAGGGTTGGGGTAGTACCACGCTGCCACAGCCACAATGATGTAGACAATCTGTTCAAGCATTGACATTAGCAAAAGGACAATTTCAACATGGAAGCAAAGAAGAAAATATAAAACTTACAATCAACATGGCGCCCTCGAGGTAATTCGACTCGCCGTCACGGAGGAAGTTTCCAACCACAACAATGGACAAGACGAGCAGGACAATCATGAAGATCTCAAAGTTGAGATCCATCTCCTTGCCCATGAACCAGCCTACAATGACAACGAGTGGGGCATTGAAAAGAGCCGTTTGGATCGAGGGTCCGATGCAGTGGAAGAGAGCGAAGTTCTATTTTGCAGTCAGCACATAATGCATCTCGGAATTGGTGAAGAAGAGAAAAAAACTGCAACATACAATCTGTCCATCCCACGCCTCATCAATTGCAGTAAGATGCTCTGCTGCCTTTTCAACCAGGGGAAGCAAAATCAGACCAAGGAACTGATCGGGAACACCAGACTCGACAACGTCTTCGATGCGCTCGACGAGGAAGACGGCGAGAAGGGTGACAATGGCCAGGGAAACGGTAATGGCAACGAGACATTCCGTCATTGTGAACTTGGGCTTGGCAACGTCTTCATGGTGGTCCAGATCACGGTGCTCGTCAGTTTCGAGAACTTCATCGAAGATGGAGTGCTGCGAGCGAGCATTGTAGAAGATGAAGCTTGCACATGTCAGCACGAGATCATATACCGTGGCTTGGCAATTTACATGAAGAAAGCGACGATGAGGAGAATTGACGTCACCTGACTGATCTTGAGGACGTTGTGCTGCAAGATCTTCTCGGTAAACTCATGGTGCTTTGATGCTTTTTCCACGGCTGAGCCCTTGAGCGCAGAGTAGTAGGCGCTAGGGATGAGAAGTCCAAAACCGGCGACCAGCAAAAGACCGCTACCAACTTCACTAATAGCAGCATGAAACTTTTGGCTGGCTTGTCTCAAACCTCCGACAAAGAAGCAGCTATTTTGTACAATATCAGCACCATGTTTTATAGTTGGCGGGTGGGGGGGGGGGGGGGATACTCACAGTCCAAGGCAGAGCAGCAAGTTGGTAAGAATGGAGCCCAGAATGGCAGCCTGAATAACAGGAATAAGGTTTCCGTGCTCCGACGAGCCATGCTCCGAGTTATGTTTCGCAATAAGGATGATAAACAGGATGATTTCAACAATGGAGCCAAATGCCGTCTCGATCAGGATACCAGATACCTTTGGCATCTTCCGTGCGAATTCCTGACCCGCGAAGCCAAGAAGGTTAGCTGCGGGTACCATGGCAATGTAGCTAGTTGCGAAGACAGCAAGAGGCAGGCCCGGCGCCGCAAAGTGCAGGACAATGGCGACAATGACAAAGGGCCAAAGCAGGTTGGTGTACTTTGCAGCATTGCTGCCAGACCGCCATGCGACGTTGATGAAATGAGACAAATGGAAGCCCCGGCGTCCACTCTCACCATCCGGATGGATGTGCTCAGGGATAATGCTGTGCACGGCTCCTAGCAGCGGCACGGATTCAGACTGCCTGCCATTGTTACCACGATGGTGATCGTACAGCACGCGCGACACGTTGTGCGAGCTATCGTGCCCATGGTGGTTGGAAGGCATGATGCCGGATTGCAAATATGAAAAGAAAGCTCAGCAAAAAAAACAAAGACTCTCAAGAGATACAAGCAAAACGCGTAGTTACAATTGAGGTTGAAGTAGTTGGGTGTGGAGAGATGGAGAATGGAGACGGGGAGCTTGGGGAAGCTGCACGTCTGTGTTGGCGGGGACAACCGCCCGCCACGACTCGCGACCTTTTTTTTTGCCCAGCCCGCCGCCGCGGCTGAGAGGCTAGGGCACAGACAGGAAAACAAGGCGACACCGCCATTCTTGAAACAGTATTATTGTTATTCGACGAACCAGCATGAGTGCCAGAAGGGCCTATTGGCTATCCGTTACGTTTTCAGCATTAAATTTGGGTTTGAGGCCCGGGGCAATATCTACAGCTTCCGACTTGCCAGCGCGTTCTGCAAACCTGGTGGAGCAACTTACCATGACGCGTATAGCTTCAACGACAACTCTCCCCATTTCCAGTCATCATTAGCTATACTTTGTTTAAGCAGTTCTGGTAGTAAGCATGCCGGACTAAGGCCCAACACAAACGTGGGGAACTATCATAGGATGGTCTTATTCCGGCCCCCTGTGCAGCATCTTCTTCCCCGGTCGATCACAGCCCCATCCAGATGGCTTGCGTATACTTCCGGAAAGCGTAGAAATATGCTGCATCTTTTTCACTTGGGGAATTGCTTTACTAAATGTCTCCTCACAGAAGCAAGAGACTGCGGCAGCAAGTAACGGGGTTTGGTAGCTGGAGGTTGATTGGATTTCACTAGCTTGATGTGGTAGCTGTTTAGCTAGTAGAAGCAGTAATGTTCTGCCCTAATGACGTCATTAATTGATCCTCAAGTCTGCGTCTCCGGATCGCAAATTGCGAGAGAAAAAAAGAATGAGATGGAGAGTGGTAGATATACTGAGTTGGAGATGACATAGATGCAATTTAATGGCAAAACCATAGATATCGACAAAAAATACTTTATGCGTATGGGAACAAGGAATTCCACCCAGTTGCAGACATTAATCAGGTATTTATATTTATGAAATAAACTCATGATCCAAACAACCCTGTATCAACTGAGAAGAACATTCGGACTTTAAAATACTTGCAGTCAACGTTGTTCCCTTCGGGGTAGTTGTCTAATATGGAGGATGTGTGGGGATTTTTTACCTTAGTTTTCTCGGACGCGTGTACAGGGATGCCATGGCTTTCTTCGCTGCTACATTCTTTGGATGTGCTGACTAGAGGTTGTATTCTATACTGTTACTATTGAATTCATCAAGTAGAAATATGTTGATAGGGGTGGGCCTGTAGAATCAGATGCTGAAAGCGCCATGGTTGAAAATGATCAGCTCACAGGAGCAGGTCGGTCGAGACGTAAAGGCATGAATTTGCTACCAGAATATTATTGAAAATGATTAAATTTTCCATTAATGACTTTCACTATTGGTATGGATGAGAAGTAACATTTACAAATATAGCTGGCAGATAAACCGGGGAGATAACCGTATAAGTTAGCAAAACTACTATTTGCGGCCGAGCTACTCAATAAATCCCGTGAATCGTTCAACAACTAAGCTCAATTAGGAAGACTATATAGGCGTTAGGCAGTACTTACAAGTATAAATAGAATGTCTCGCAGACAGGTGCTAAATATGCAGCTTATTGTTCAGAATAGATACATTGCTCAGTATTGTCAGATCAGCTAATTTCGCTATTGCATAGATAATCAAGAGAATGAAAATACAAGGTATAACTGGTAACATACTAGGGTGTCATGACTTTAGAGCAAGCAGCAAGTGAACAAGAAGCGGAAACAAACCTTCCCCGCACTTATCCCCAAGCATACAACATCCCCGCTTTATCTAACCCTCGATAAGCCTCATATGCACAGATTGTTCACTTTGATCTTGACAAATACTCTTTAGATCTTATACTCTCTTCGTGAAACTTACCTCTTACCATTCCGACAGAATTGGCTTCAATGACCCGCACGCTTCGTATTACAGCAGCACAGTTAGGCACCGTTCATCACAGCGATGACCGCCAACAGACCTTATCGTGACTCATCGCGTTACTCGAAAACGCCGCTTCTCAAGGCGCACAAATAGTCCTCTTCCCCGAATGCACTTTGACAACCCTCTTTCTTCGCTATCTAGCCGCCGACAAAGAGGAGCGCAAATCATTTTTCCAAGACGGCGACGTCGCCACGGCATATAGCACTAAGGGCATTTTCGAAAAAGGCAAAAGAGCTAGGCGTAGGCATTTGTATTGGTTTCGGAAAAGGAACAGATCAAAGTGAGTATTACAATACTTGCGTCTACTACCATGCCAAGTCCGGATCCATCTTATCATAGCACCGCAAGGTATATTTACCGGGAGGCGTTGAATCCTTTCCCGAACCCGACCCTGTCAATCAACTGGAAAAACGATACTTCATGCCTAGAGATCTAGGGTTCGATTTGTTTCGTGTGCCGGATCTGACAAAGAGCACGATTGACCAAGGGGAGCCAATGTTCGGGATGGTGATATGCGATGATAGGCGGTGGGCAGAAGCATGGCGATGTCTTGGTCTCCAGGAGGTGGAAGTGGTGTTGTTAGGGTTTAATGGTCCAGGTTACACGCCGCACATATGGAGCACGGATTTAAACCTACTACGGCAAGCAAGTGCTGATGCCACCTTCCGGCACAAGTTGGCCATGCAGGCGCATTCGTACACGAACTCTTGCTTCTCGGTTAGCGCGGCACAATTTAGTTTGTACAATGGGAAGTATGACCTTGCAGGTGGTTCGACAATTGTTGGACCTGATGGAAAAATCATAGTCGAGAGCCAGACAGAGGAAGACGAAGTAATCATTGCAGATTGTGACCTCGATTGGTGCGAGTCTGGCGAAAACACGAACATCTGGTTCCGCCAGACATCGACGAACGGAACATTATGGCATCTTGACTTCACAAACCGGCGTAATCGAGCCACCTAGACTCACAGCACCGGACAGTGAGAAGAACACCTCGACAAATGGCACTCACACGGCAGGAATGCCATCCGTAACTGGCACCCCTTCACCGCGCCAAATCCGCATTCTCCTCTGCAACCCCAACGTCGCATGCTACAGCGACCACGCACTCACCAAAATGCTAAGAAAAGAACTATCCCAGCCCGTCATCGGCATAATGGAAAGCATCACTGTACACCGCCCGTACCCTCGGCAGCAGGTTTGGTATCATAGCTACATCGCAGCGCTCGCGGTATAACCCTCTGCGACGCCGTGAAGAAGCTACGGCTTAGATTCCTTTTGTGTGGGCGTGCGCAGCTGCAACTTGGGCGTTACTCGACTTGGAGACAAAAAAACGAAAAGGAGGTTCTAGGTATCATGTGCGGTGTTGCACGGGAACTTGTGGCTGATGGGGGGGGGCGGATACGCTAGCGTTGGGGGTGTGCGGGAATGACGAATGTGAAGGTTGCGGTTGAAAAGGCGGTTGGAGGGGATGTAGTACAGGTGGTTGATGGGGGTGTTGGCGGGTGTGCAGCAGCATCTCGCTGGTTCGTATAGATTTGGGGGGCGAGAACGGCGAAACGAGGTATTTATGCTAGTTCTTCTGTGGGTAGGCAGCGTAGAGGTCAGAATTGGTATTAGATATTGGATTAGTAGAAGCAATGAATCGTGTAGATTATTTTTTGGTTGTGAGGCTTTGTGTCAAAGTTGAGAATAAGAAAATACATGTAGCTAGATTGATGTCATGACAATCATATCGACATGAACAACAGACCTGAACATCTCTATCTGAGACTCGAAAACGATGAGTAAGCAGTAGGCGGGAGTGTAACAGCAAGTTTTGTTGGTGTCACAATACAAACGCACGGGCATAAGTCTTAATGAGGCAGGCGAAGTGACCAACCAAGGTAACCCATGCAGGCAGGATTCGTATACAAAGTCTTGTTTCAACTGCAATACAAACGGTAGGCTTAAGGAAACAACAACCGTGTGCCAAAGAAAAAAGGGTAATTAAATTGTTTCTCCTCTACGGAGGTGAAGAAAAAAAAAGGATAAGCCTTGACTCCTAAACAATGCCATGTGTGATGTGATGATGCAATGCGACGCCCAGAACAACCAAGTTATGCAAGTGAGGGGGTATCCTACAATCATAATGCGGAAGAATATATGAAACAGAAAAGAAAGAAAAAAAGGCCAAGAATCAAAGGTTCGCTACAAAAAAGGTATGCAACTCAAGATAAGGGGAAAAGCAAATCAAAAGCCAACCACCTCGCAACCACTACCTAATAACCATGCCTAGCATGGTCTGTATGACATGGACATTCACCTACGTGAGCGCCTTGGTCGACTGCTCGACTCGCCATTGCCACGACTGCGTCCAGACGAGGTCTGCGAAGTGCTCATGCAGTCCCAGTTGAAAGGAATCTGAGAAGTGGGTATAGTAACACCTTCATAACGATGCAACCTCGCACGCCTTGGGGGAGGAGAGGGCTGCGCAAAAGCCTCTTGGCGAACTTCTTCAAGCGCTTGGTTTGTGGCGGCAAGGACGGCAAAGCGTCTGTCCGGTACACGGCGGACGGTCGTGTTGGGCGTGCGAGGACGAGCTTGGCGCGAAGACGTTGTTGATTGCTCGTGCCGGCGGGAACGGTGCTGGCGGTTCTGAGAGCGTGAAGACTCGGGGCTTGGCTGAAGGGTAGTGGAAGAGTAGTGGTGGCGTGACGAACGATGACTACGGGGTGAAGACTCAAGAGTTTGGTAACTGCGAGGTTCGCGTTTTGGTGTCCTTGGTGGAGAAGTCGCAAAGAAAGACCAGCCACGTGAAGGCTCAGGTCGGATATTCTTCTTGGACTTTGAATGCTTGGGAGGGTCACGCTTTGCTCCGCGCCCGCGCAGAGTGCCTTGTGATGATTGCGTGGGGTGCCGTCGCCGATGGTGTTGACTTCGGTGAGGTCGTGGATTCAACAGAGTCTCTTGGGACGAATTGACAGTTTCGGGTTCGAACGAGCGGCGGTATTCCTGTGGTACCTCTACATTCAAGGCTGATCGGTAGTGCTCGCGTCTCCGGTAGGCATCCTCGTACTGACGCTGTGATTGGGGAGGGTGGCTGTCCCTATGTTTTTCGCGGAGCGGGGAACGTTGCGCTGGCAGGGTGGAGTCTCCAGATCTTCTTTTCCTGCTAGAGTCCTTTGAGCTGCGCTTCTCTGAGTATTGCTCAACGATTGGCCTTCCATTACCGCGAAGCGCGCTGTCCGCCGGCGCGTCCCGCCTCTTCTTTTCCCCGGATGACGACGACGTCTTGGGCTTCCTGTTGGCCGGAAGGCCAAAGTTGAATGACCAGCACATAGCGACCAAGACGCAGATCTTGTATCGCTATGCGACTGGTATTTGAGTCCAATATCAAGGCTCAACAGAATGGCAGCAGCGTGCATAAGGATGCCGAAGTTCGGAACAGCCGACAGAGCCAAGATGTGCACAAAGAGGGGTGCAAATGTGTTACGCTCAGGGCAGACAAGGCGAGCCAATGGACAGATAAAAGGATTCAGCATTCCAAGGCAAAGGGGGGGATGGGATGATTGAACAGAGAAGGCGGGCTTGGAGACTATGATATCATGTAGAGACAAAGAGAGTTCCGGGTCTGGCCTGAGAGCAAGAGCACCGCATTCGTGACATGGAGGCCGGATTCCAATAGAGCACATGGCCTGAAGCTAAATCTAGAAAGGATTCATTCACAGTGCCTGGCATTGTCGTTTTGCGCTCCAATCAGCGGAGGGCTCGGTTGATGGTGTGCGACGGACAGAGTGATTCGCAAGTTAGCAAAGGGTGGCTTACTGGGCCACATGACACCTCTGGCTCCAGCTGATCGACTCATCTTTCCGGCGCGCTGCAGCCAGCAGTCTGCTGTGAAATGGAGTGTAGAAGAGTGGAAACGGTGCATGGAGATTGACAGGCCGTCTTATATGGTGCAGCATTGATTCTTGTGGCAGCTACTGCTCGAGCGTGTGCTGTCTCTGGGCGTACCTGCGTCGCTGCTACGTGGCACCTGTGCTGGACAGAAGAAGGGCGGGACGGTTGCGGGACGATCCTGGGTGCAGAGTTGGGTGATCTGACGACAGTCCTAGTGGCACCTAGGGGGGTGACGGCGATGCTAGCTGCATGCTGGTGCTCGCTGGTGCGAGTGGGCTGATGGGTGATGACGGCCGCCTGACCGCGCGAGAGGGACGGTTGCTGGGTTCCTTATCGTTATCGGGTTGGGGCCGACGTCATTGGTCCGAGACGGGCCTCGTTCACCTCGACCTTCCAGCCATGTCCCATCATCGCCGGCTTTCCAGGGGCTGCACGGCCGCGGGAGAGTGCATGTTCCTGCTTCTGACACGCCTAGCACAGACATCGTTCATCACACAACTGCGCCTCCATGACGCCCGCCACCGCCGGCTCGAACCAAGCCATAGTAGCCCCGAGGGCGGGCAGCCAATTGCAGCCAGAAGCCGCCGAATCGCCTACAACAAGGCGGCGCTTACAGTGCACCCACGCTCTTCTCGGGCCAAACAGAGAGTCATTCGTCTTGCGGCCTGTCCCAACAGGACGACAACTGAGACAAGGACGATATCGGAGAAGCCGAGCAGGGCCGAGAGGGGGGCGGTCAGCAATCAGAGACGGGGGCTGTACTTAACATTGTGTGTGCATGGTAGAGCCGTGTTCGATTACATGCTTCCAACACCAACAGTTTGCGGAGAGCGGAGATTTGGATACGAGTCTGAGTCGTACAGTAAGTAAGTAAGTAAGTAGGTAGCAGTTTGTCGAGTAGTAGTATGCAATGCACACAAGTAGTAGCACGGCTTGGCAGGGGTGCGCTGCGGTCATCATCAGCCTCTGTATCACCGTGGCGTGGGACAAACTTTGTGCTTGATTCCAAGTGTGCCCTTGAAGCAATAAATCTTAGTGCCGCTTCATACCAACTAGTAGTATTCGGCAGAAGAACAATAGGCATGACCGTGTCGGGACTCAACACACACAAAGTCCCGACTCCAGAGTGGGGTATCCACTATCCACCCCGCTGGCGTCATGTTGACACGAACAGACGATGCGCCATATCAGTAGTTCCTCCACCGACGTTGAACATCACACGACATTTGCACAGACACGTAGCCCATAGTACAATCAAATGCCTCTGATCGCACAGAATCCAAAAGACCGGGTCATCCTCGGGTTGATGACCTTTGGTACGCCTTGACACTGCGGGGTTCAAGTGCGGCTAGTAACACTGAGTAGGTCCTGATGAGAGCAGCGGCGCGCGTATCACCGAGTTCGATGAGTTCACCAAACATTTGGATTACTTCCAGGCCCAGGGCTACAATGAAGTCGATACTGCGCGCATGTATGTGGGCGGCAAGCAAGAAGCATGGACACGCCAGGCTGCATGGAAAGACCGCGGCCTTACTCTTGCTACTAAAGTCTACCCATTCGAGGCTGGCGTTCACAAGCCCGAGAACCTGAAGAAACACTTCACCACTAGTCTGCAAGAGCTTGGCGCAGACTGCGTGGATATCTTCTATCTCCATGCGCCCGACCACAGCGTGCCGTTTGAAGAGACGCTCGAAGCAGTCAACGAGTTGCACAAACAGGGCAAGTTTGTCAACTTGGGCCTGTCAAACTTTGCAGCATGGGAGGTTGCTGAAGTCTACAACATCTGCAAGGAACGAGGATGGGTCAAGCCAACCATCTACCAGGCCATGTACAATGCTATTAGTAAGTCTCACCCTTTTCAGCCCATCAGCCACTGCTGACAATACTCAGCTCGCGCCATCGAGCCGGAGCTCATTCCCGCATGCCGTAAGTATGGCATCGACATTGTCATCTACAACCCTTTGGCTGGTGGCCTCTTTTCCGGCAAGATCAAGTCCAAAGACATCAAGCCTGACGAAGGCCGGTTCGGGACCAAGGCTGACCGCATCGGCACAATGTACCGCGATCGCTACTTCAAAGACGCGACGTTTGAGGCTCTTAGGATTGCAGAGGAAGCTGCTCAAAAACATAACCTGACGCTGCTTGAGATTGCACTGAGATGGTGTGTTCATCACTCTGAGCTCAAGACACGAGTCAAAGGTGGAAATGACGGCGTCATTATTGGCGTCAGTAGTCTCAAGCAACTGGAGGGCAATCTTACGGATCTGGAGAAGGGGCCTCTGCCTGACGATGTTGTCAGGGCGTTGGATGAGGCGTGGATGGTTTGCAAGGCAACTGCGCCTACATACTTTCGGTAGATGGGATAGTGTTCGGTTGCTGGACTGTACCGGCGTTAGCTGAATGCCGAAACTCATTAGTCATCCAGTTCCGATTCTGAGCGGCATCCAAGTCGACTTGGCAGTGGCCTTGATTGGAAGGTGCAAGCAAGGCCGTACTTGGAGCCACTTCGTTGGACGGCGTACCTTACTCCATCCACAAACCTGTTCAACACTGTATTGATTGCAAGTTCATTCCGCCTCGGCATTCCCCTGGATGTGATGTATGGTTCGGAGAAATGTTCAAAGTGCAGTACAGGAAACTCGTGGTAGCGCTGGATATAACCTACTCCTTGATGTGGGGCGCAGGATTCAGGCAACTACCTAGATAAAACAACGCCCTTTTCTACAACTCTGACCACCTCTCCACTGCTTGTAAAGACCAGTTCTGTCATCTTTTTGCATAGTTCTGAGGAACTCGTTGCAACCATGGCGCAAACCGAGACAGTCCCCGTTACTATACCTGCTGAACAACAAGGCCCTCAGACCAGACCGGTAGAGCCTGAAAGGCGCCTGAAAGATGGTGATATCCAGATTGAAATATGCACAGTAGACGATGCAATGACGCTTGTAAGTGGGCAACATTGTGAAAACAATGACGGAACAAACTTGATGAATACATTTCACGTACTTAGCTTATTCGCCAGGCACATGGACTTCGTGCCTGCTATTCTGCAGAAACCTGGGACAAGAAAGAGCCGGCCGCACAGGGTCGCCCAGATTCCGAAAGAATAGAGCGGCTAGCCAAACGCCTTGTTCCTGTGCTCGCACATTCAGAGTACACCTTTATCAAAGCCGTGCTCGCCTCGACGGGCGAGGCCATCGGTGCAGCGTGCTGGGGTCGCCCAGATAAGAACATTGCCCACGACCCCTTTCGCCGCAGCGCCATCTCATTCTACAACTGGCACGAGTCCCTAGGCTGGAGTGACGCGCTGGTCGACGAGTTGTGGTCGGGTGTGACGGACAGTTGGCACCAAGGGCAGGCTAAGGATGACGAGGAGCGGGCGCAGATTATGAAGGGCGAGGCGCATTGGTTTCTTGCGCTGCTCATCACGTGGCCCGACTTCCAGGGCCGCGGAGTTGCGAGGAGACTGCTTGACTGGGCGATTGAGCAGGCAGACGCAGAGGAGCCGCCGACGCCCATGTATCTCAAGTCGAGCAAGATGGGGAGGCGGGTGTATATGCACGTGGGGTTTGTGCCTGTGGGGGAGAATACGATGGTTAGGCGGGGACGGGTGGAGTAGTCGTCATGGTGGCGGCCTTGACTCGCTGGTGCGGCTCTTGGTATAACACACGATGCACAAAACAGCCGCCTAGACACATTGTGGTGCTCGCATAGCTAGATGCACAAGACGCAAATGAAGATGGGCATGCTGGTCAGGGACATGAGATGGTCGTGTGTTTTGGGCACGTGGCATGACATACTATTTTGTGGCACGTGGCATGACGTCAGCACCCGCCCATCCCATGTGAGAGGCGAGAAGCAAAAACATCAAAAAAGAAAAGGGCCGTTGTCTAAACATGGCAAATGCAAATGTCGAGGCGCGGGGCAGAGCAGGAATGCCAAAGACAGGCGGGCGACTGTTGGTTTGACGAGTGCACGACGTCGGGCGGATAGCCGGATGGGAGGCTGCTTAGCGTCCTTTTTGGTCGCGTCAGGCCGGGCCTCCCCAAACATGGCGGGCGTGCGGGCATATCGCAAGCACCCACGACCACCATGAGGGTGCGATTGACGCTGCGGCGCCTGCTGAGCGCCGCGTTGCTGCTATGCACCCTGTTCCTGACGACTCTGCTGCCGCGGCTCTGGCGGGGCGACCGCGGCTACGAGCTGCTCGTCGACCGGCCCCCTCCCGCCGGACCTGGGCCCGTCTCTAAGGTCGTGGTGCCCTTTGGCCAGGAATGCGCCCCCTTCACCGCCGGCGTCATGGACGACGTGACCATCGTCCTCAAGATCGGCGCCGGCGAGGTCGCCTCCAAGCTGCCCCAATACCTCAACCGCCTCGGCCGCTGCAAGCAGGATCTGCTCATCTTCTCCGACCGCAAGGACTCGTACAATGGCTTCGACATAGCCGACGCCCTCGCCCACCTGCGCCCCGAGTATAGGTTCAACAACGCCGACTTCGACGTCTACGACTACATCCAGTCCGTCAACCTGACTACCGACAAGTCGCCCGATGGCTGGCGGCTCGACAAGTACAAGTTCCTGCCCATGATGGAGTGGACCTCGTACCTGCGGCCCCAGTCGCACTGGTACGTCTTCCTCGAGCTCGACACCTACGTCAACTACGACAATCTATACCGTTTTCTGTCCAACTTCAATCCACGCACCGCCTACTACTTTGGATCCCCCGTCTGGCCCAAGAAGAAGGCCATTTTTGCCCACGGCGGCAGTGGCTTTGTGCTGTCGCGTGCAGCACTGGACAAGATCATGGCACTCGGCCGCATGTTTGGCGAGAACAAGCATTTTCCAGGCACGCACTTCTTCGGTGTCGACGTACAGAAGCAGTGCTGCGGTGATGAAATTCTAGCCCAGGTCCTGAAGAAGAGCGGCGTCTCCCTTCGAGGATACTGGCCCATGTTCAATGGCGAAAAGCCAATCACCATGCGCTTTGACAATGAACAGTGGTGCGAAGCAATCATGACCATGCACCACCTTAACGAAGAAGACTTCACCTCGCTCTCCCAATGGGAAAAGGCGCGCTCGCACCCGGAACGACCCCTCATGTTCGAAGAACTCTTCACAATGATTGAACCCCACCTCCGCCGCGAATCCGAAGACTGGTCCAACCTCTCCGAAGACGTGACGTACAAACCTAGTAAAAAAGCATCCAAATCATTCGACAACTGCCGCAAAGCCTGCATCAACGACAGCAGATGCATGCAATTTCAACACACGGGCACAGAGTGTCGCCTCGGCTACTCGATTCGCTTGGGCCGCCACCAGCCTCGCGAGGGCGACCGCCAGTGCAGGTCCGGATGGATGCTGGATCGCATCAAAGCGTTTAAACAGGCCCGTTCCCCGTGTCAGGGCGCCCGCTTTGTCCATTCCAATCCCTGAATGATGTGTCCCCCCACCACACCCCCCCTTTCCCCTCTCACACATCTTCACAGAAAAGGGAGGAAATGAAAGACACAGAAAAAAAACGATGATAATGATCATGTCCTTGTTTTCTTCTTTCTCTTCTTTTCCCCACCTTTTTTTTTAGTAATACGAAGTTTACGGCATTGTATACGGCGTTTGATACCCAGAGGCGTTTATCTCTCTCTTTTTTTTTTTCTTCTTCTTCGGTTTATTCATTGTTTGGGTGGAGGTTTTACATCAGTCCGCGTATAACCACGTACTTTGGCTGTTTGATGTCTCTTTTTTTTTTTGGTTGTATTCCGGCGAGTTTTTTCTTCTTGGTTTGGTGGGACGGACGGACGGACGGACGGGGTGCCATTCGTCAAGATTTTTTTTTTTTAAAAAAAAAGACATGACAATACGGCCTTGGTAATATCAATAGCAAAGGACTTATGACTTCTGACGTTTGCTTGTTTTTGTAATACAAACATGACGGGCATGTGGGGTTGTTGTTGCTTTAAAAAAAAAGTGGAGTAAACTGGTAGGTTGGATAGAATAGAGCATAGTACTACTCGATAATCATAGGATAAAAGTTGTTTCGCAAAATGCTTTCATTAACTTGACCTATCTTTGAAATTGTGAAAGAAAGGAAGCGGTATCACTTTTTCAAATATCTCTGTCCCCCCCCCCCCCCCCTGCTCGCAAACAGCATCACTTTGGAAACTATGATTCCGTCACCAGCACCCAAACCTACTCTTACAAGAACTGGATTTGATAAAGAAAATGAGACCAGATTAGAGAAGAAGAAAAAAAGAACAAGAAGAAGGAAAAGGGGTCGACCGAAGAATCAGCCAATCTACCTCTTCCTCTTCTTGCCCTTGCTGTCCTCGTCGTCGTCATCATCCAGCGCAGCCTCCTTGTCCTTTTTGGCCGCCTTCTTGTCCAGCTCGTCCCAGCTCTCACCCTCGGAAAAGTCCTCTTCCGACCCCTCATCACTCATCTCATCCGACGCATTCTCGTCAAAGTCGCTCTCATCAGACGACTCGTCGGAAATGGCCAGCTCAGACTCTGACACCTCAAACGCAGACTCCTCCTCTTCGTCACCATCGCCTTCGTCGTCCGTTTCGGTCGAGAGGAAGGACCATCCACCGTCAGCAAAGAATTGGTGCGGGTCAGACGTCACAGTCTTCATAATGGTGGCCCAGTTGAGGTTCAAAGGTCCCTCGGTAAACGGAATGTCGACAGAGTCCAGCCAGTCCTTGACTGGGTCCAGCGACTCGACTGGAATGGTATTGATGTGAACAGGCGGACGGTTGTAGTCCTTGAACACAACAACCATGTCAAAGTTCTTGAGACCAAACTGTACACGTTCAAGATGCACAATCTCAATCTCTGAAAGGGTAAGACATGTGAAGGGAGGCTCAGTAAGCTGGACCAAGCAGTCGGTTGTCGGTTGCACAAGAACCGAAGATCGCGAGGGTACACCGTTGAACCCGAGCTCACGGTACGGGATGTCAACGCTGACGTTCTCGTTGCGTGCAGCATCGGCAATCTTCTCGGCAAAGTTCTTGAACTCCTTGTCGAGAGCAGCACGTCGCCTACGCTCCTCCTGCTCTTGCTCAAACTCTTCTTCGTCACCAAACTTGTGGCGGCGCTTACGGTTGCCCGTCTCGTCAAACTGCATCTCTGTGGCTTCTCGGACAAACTGCACGTCCTTGGTCTTCTTCTTGCCAAGCATAATGGGGTTCTTGAGATGGACATGGATGATGACAATCAGCTCGTGTTGCGAGGGCTGGAAGAACAAGTGCTTCATGTTGCTAAAGAGCACGTCGATCTTGGCGCTTCCGTTGCCGTGGACGTAGCGCAGACCGTTTTGGTGAATCTCGACGCTACCAGGGATACGCTTGCCGTCAAGTGCTGGGCGGATGAAGATGAGATCGAGCATGTGGGGCTTGCGAGACTTGAGGGGAATGAGCTTGTCCTGCTCAACAACGTCCTCCATCTGCTTCTTCTCAGTCTCACGTCGAACAACCTCTTTCTTCAGTTCGGTGATGTCTTTGGTAATCTGATCGATGCGATCGACATCATGCGATTTGAATGTCAGACTGCGAATGAAGTGTGCGTTGGGGTCCTCAAAAGGCTGGTCATCTTTTCGGCCTACACCTTGACCAGGTGAGAGGAAGTTGATTCGAAGAGAGGTAAAGTCTGCTTCGGGGGTATGTGATGCATTCTTGATAGTGTGGATGTGGAAGGGTACTGGTCGACCCATGATAGGCAGAAGGACTGTAAGGTTCTTCTTGTCGACGACAATCTCCAGGTTAGCCACTGAACTGGGAAGCTGGTTGTCACGCTTGTAAGACTCAAACTTCTTGAACTTCTTTTCTTCAGTGCCATTTAGCGACTTTGCGCCCTCACTGTACTGCTCGAGACCCTCAGCCTGCTTCTTAGCATGTAGCTCCTTTTGATGCTGTCGCCGTTGCTCTTCTTTTTCAGCATCTTGGTTCGTCGTTCGCTCGTGGCGCGTTCGGGTCTTTGTGATGTTGGTTTGGGCAATGGCCGGGCGCTCTTTCTTCGCCTTGGGCTTGGCTTCTTCCTCTTCTTCGTCAAAGAAGAACGAGACGGCATCCAGGTCCGATGTGGTATCCTTGGTGAAGACGGCGCATTCGCCCTGTCCAACACGAACCGTGTCAACTAGTACAAGCGAGTAGTTTTTGCTCTTCTTGTCCTGTGGCTTGCTGTTTTCAAGGTCGGAGAAGCCAGTCTGGACAACAAGAGTCATGCCGTCCTTGAGTACACGGGTGTTCTTGCCGCTCAGAAGAAGTGAAGAGTCCTTGTTCTCGACACCGATACCATAGCCAAGGTTCTTGGGGAAGTGCTTCTCCCACTCTGGCTTCTTCGACTTGAGCATAGCAAGCGCTTTGTTGTAAACATCCTTGGCCACAACGCCATCGCGGAGGGATTTGATAACCAAGTCATGAATAGCCAAAAGTAGCTTGTATGCATTCTCTTGCTCTTTGTTGGGGCCGACCATGTATGTTCGGCCAACCATGGCACCGTATGTCTGGTAACGCAGACCAAGAACAGAAATGATGACGCCAGCGTGCAAGTTGTTCTCGTCGGGCTCGGCCGCAAACTTCAAGTCGTAGGAGCCACCGCTCTGAATGGTGGGCTGCAGGCACCAATCTAGCTGCAGCGAGTCAAATGTCTTGGACACCTTCTGCTTCTCGAAGAACTTGGCATCGTCGATCTTGTTGGCGACTTTGTCGGCAAGGGCGCGATGGGAAATCTTCTTCTCAGAGTCGAGGATGTCGGACATTTCTTCGACAAAGTAGTTGGTCATAAGGGCGCTCGAGGCTCGCGCCGCATCGCGGATGGTCCTCAGCTCCTTCTCGTCCTTGACAGACAGGGCGGCATTGGACAGGATGGAGGCGAGATCGACCTGGTCCTCTTCCTTGAAGGCAGCCTCGTCAAAGGCGGCTTTCCACTCGCTCGCAAAGGCGTTGTTGGCATTTTCCTTCTTCATGACGGCGACCTTCTTGCCGGCCTTTTTGATCGTATCTATGCATGTCTGGAACTGCTTCTTGTTCTCCTCGGCGTCCTTGCCGCGCACCAAGATTTCGACAGGCACCTTTCCGCCTTTGAGCGGCTCAAGGTAGGCAGCTGCATCAGTGGCATTAGCGCAATGCTGTAGTTTAGGCAGTCGCACGTGACTCACCCTTCTTCTTGGTTGTCACAATCTGGACGAGGTCGGGGGTGATGACGAAGAGCGTGGCAGGGAATTCGTAGCCTAGCAACCACAACTATGGGCTTGTCAGCTCGCCAGATGCGCAAACAAGGCATGCGCAGACTTACCTGGAAAGCGGCGGGCTTCTGGTAAATGCCAGGCTCGCTCGCCTTGCCGACCAGCGTTGCGATTGAGCCTGCGCCCTGGAAAACCTGGTCACCTGAGCGCTTGTCGGCCTTCCACTTGGTGACGAGGTTGTTGAGGCGCTCGTGGAAGAGAGCCTTGTCGATGACGATGTCGTCCGCCATGGTTGAAGGTGCGTGGAATGAAACCTCCAGATGGGTTGGCGGGGACGGGTAAGACGGAGTTGAGAGAGAGGGAAGGGGAGAGGGAGAGAGACGGCGCTGATGGGAAAAGTCGCGAAGGCCTTGATGGCGACAACGACGCGAGGGCTCCCACGCGCTGCCCCGGGCCTGTGCGCAACCTCTCAATTCCCGAAGCGGCCTAGCGCCCTACTACCTTCACTATAGCTGTATACTACCCCCCCTCCAGAGCTAATCTGCAGCCCCACATCCCGGGCGTGCAGATGCAAATTACCAACTAGTACAACAACACCATCACCCTCTGAATTGGTCCCCCGTTTCTTTTCGTTTTGCTCAGCTCGCCAATCGGTACGCTCCCAGCCAGTATTCCCAGGTCACTAGCCCGCTTGTGACCCTCGCACGCGGAGCGCCTTCACCTTGCCTATATAGCCTGCCAACACCCTCGCATGCACCCCCTACCTTCTCTCACCTCCCATGCTATGCAATGACAGCCGGCTCCAGTGTCCGCGCTGGAGTCTCTGTCCGCAGTGATGGCCCCAATGATGGCGCCCCCGACACTCCGCAAGCACCCAACAAGGCACCAGCCACGGGCGTCCAGGCTGCAGGCATGCGAGCCGTCGCCGCCAGGATGGTCGCCTTTTATTTCAGAGCGCCCGTAAAGGCCTTCTTCAGGGGCAGGATCGACTACATGGGCTACGCCAGAGCCATCAACCCCCATGTCATGGCCGATGCGAAATGGTCGTGGAGAATGACCACGCCTGCTGTGCTCGCACATGCCATACGCACCGAAGGATGGGGCTTCATACCCAAGCAGGTACTTCCACCGCTTATGGCAAACACATGGTATGCATAATCAGCGTCTGTTCCACGCAGTGCCTAATACTATGCAGCATTGGTGCAGTCCTGTACACGACATACCTCCACAGCCTATCAGCCCTCCACGAGCCATCCTCGTACCAGACCAAGCGCGTATACCCTCCCCCACCTCCTTCTGTTACCTTCACCGCAGGGTTGATTGGTGGTGGTATTCAATCAGTATTCGCCGCTCCATTTGACGCCCTCCAAACCCGCTTCCGCACCGCCGACATCCTCGAAGGCAAACACAAGACCATGTGGCACTATGCAGGCTACAAGCTACGCTCAATCGGCTTGCAAGGCATTTTTGCTGGCTGGACGCTGAGCTTTTTCAAAGACGCCTTCGGCGCAGCAGTCTTCTTCGGCACCTTTGAGACTGTCAAAAGCCAGGCATACCTCGAATTCGTTTCGCATTACTACGGCAGCCGAAGTCGTGACACGCTATTGGAAAGTTCCATTCCCTACCTGCAGGAAGACTACGATGATCGTCCAGTCATACGGCCACACTACATGTTGGAGCCCATGTTCTTGCTCTTGGCCGGTATCTCAGCATCAGTAACATCTCAGCTCATCCAACACCCCCTGATGGAAATCCAGGATGTTCACTATCGCCGGCTTGAAGCCCTCGATTTTCAGGCTCATCAGGACAACAAGCCCTCGCATATTGTCCGACGATATTACCATGCCTACGAAGAGACATTTGCACAATGCAAGGTTCTAGCCAAACGTGCTGGAGGGTGGAGAAACTACCTCTACCGCGACTTCTTCATGAGCACCATAAAGCAAACGCCCAGTACAGCTGCTGGACTCATCGTGTTTGAAATTGTTCGCCGAAAGTACTCTTTCGAGAACGAGGAGGTCATGATCAATCATGAGGATGCACGTATCCTATTGTCGTGAAGAGCAGGTTAATTGTAGAACTGCGCAGCATCTTGCATTATATACCCAGGGGCGAATTTAGACAGATAGAACAATTTTTCATGTTTGTACATAGGTCAATCTCGCATTAGAATATACTGAATTACAGAGACAAATCAATGATACAAACAAAGTATGGAAATAATCGCGTAGGGGATTAGCTTCATACTCGGCTTTCATGCGCTGAATCAGCCGATTTAGCACGTCATCCATAAGCAAAAGTTCAAGCCCCTCAGTCGGATTCGGGAAAAGTGCCGAAGTACTAGCTTGCGTCAACGCCTCGGATAGAGCTCCTGCCTGTATCTCTGCAGCCTTTGCTGTCTATCCCACATCAAAGTTTCATCCAGTTAGGCTTTCTTGAACCTCAAATTCACGGTTATGGAATCGAAGTCGCCAATCAAGCTCGCCGTGCTCGATGACTACCATGGCATAGCATCCAAGCATTTTGCTCACATTGATCCATCAAAAGTTGATATTACAGTCTTTAACGACACACTACCGTCATATTCACACCCTAGGACTTCAGATGAAGACCGCAAAGCCCTTGTTGATCGACTGAAACCATTTGCCGTTCTGTCAACGCTACGCGAACGCACCGCGTTTCCGGGTGAGCTACTGCGTCAATTACCCAATCTGAAGATAGTATTTGCGACTGGTGGTAAGTTTGAGTCCTGGGACTTGAGCACTATGCAAGAGCTGGGAATAAGCGTTTACGTCGCGCCCGGAAAAGGGAGGACGGACGGCAAGGGCAGCTTTAAGTCACCACGATCGCTGCCCATCAAGCAAGGAGGTGGGCATCCTACTACGCAACACGTTTGGGCACTCATCCTCGGACTGGCACGTAACATTGCTGCCGATGACGCAGTTGTAAAGGGAAAAGGCGGGCCTGCGGGCTGGCAGACGGAACTGGCGGTCGGCCTACAAGGCAAAACTCTCGGACTCGTTGGGCTGGGTAGAATCGGCGCTCACGTCGCTAGAGTGGGTGTTCTCGCCTTTGGAATGCGCATCATCTGCTGGAGTGCGAACTTGACACAAGACAAAGCCGATGCAATGGCGCAGGAATACGGGTTACCAACAACAGGCGCAGGCATGCTTGCCGAGGATGAAAAGACCTTTCAAGTAGTCAGCAAGGAAGAGCTGTTCCAAACAGCAGACATAGTATCACTCCACTACGTACTCAGCGACCGCTCAAGAGGTATCGTAGCTGCGCACGAACTAGCGTCTATGAAATCTACTGCCTTCCTAGTCAATACATCCCGGGCACCCCTTATCGACGAAGCTGCATTGCTGGATACATTGCGGAATGGACGGATTCGCGGTGCGGCCCTCGATGTATTCGATATCGAGCCACTCCCAGTGGACAGTCCTTGGCGTAATGAGGATTGGGATAGAAAGGGGAAGAGCAGGGTTCTTTTGACGCCACATATGGGCTATGTCGAAGAAGGAACGTTGGCGGTGTGGTACGAAGAGACGGCAGAGAACTTGGAGAGGTTGATTGACGGAAGCGAATTGTTACATCGGCTCATCTGAGGATATGGCAAAGAAAATACGGATTTGCAGAGTCAGACATAAACTTAACTCATCGGGCTTTATCTAGCCCATATAAGTCTGAATAGTCTTCCTCTTCCTAATCCTCTTCCTGGGTCATCTCACTTCCTCACTCTTGCGCCGATGCTTGATCGTAGCTTTCTCCAGTATATCTACCATTACTGGCTTGAGCTCTCACACTCCTAAATCCCCATTTGCACATATGATTTCCGCTTGATCCACCTCTACCACTTTCACGTCATCTTCACAGCATTTATCTTATACCACGCCCTTTCCAGACGATCTAACGCATTCAAGATAAATGGCATGGAATTTGAATCAGGAATGAAATCAGATGGCTACCATGGAGGAAAGTACTGGAAATGATTGGGCGCGCTGTATCTTCGCGTCAACGGCGTTGGCTTTGTCTTCAAACCTGTGAGTCAAGCTGCGAACGTATGCATGAACAAAGCCATGATACCCACCGCATGCCTCAGTTCTTTCAATTTTCTTTCGCCCTTCTACTCTATAAATTGCTGTCCACATGCTGCATAAACAATAACCCAAGCAAACAGCAACCATTGGCGGCATCTAAATATCAAACCACGCAACCTTTCATTTTACCGCTAAATTCCGGCAAGTAATTCAACAAGATATTGAGGTTGGCTTGACATTTCATTAACCCAAAAATGTTTCTTGCACATCAACTGCGCAATACGGGGCACATGTCCGTCTATGCAGCGGAATGTGGCTTTCCGGTACACCGACAGCGGTACCTTCGAACAGCTCTAACATCGCAACACGTCTGCCCATATCTCACTACACTTTCATTCAGACGTGCAACTTACCGACTATCTTCTACTCCTAATTTGCTTAATCACACTATTGTTAACAGTGTGATAAAAATCGCAGACGTTCGTCGTCGCTCCTTACGGGAACCTGAAAGATGTCTTGCAACAACTTCTTCCATGCGAACATGCTCGTCCACAATAACACCAACGGGTACGGATGCGGGTGTGGTCAAGAACGATAAGGGTACCTCTAGACTCTTGTCAAATATGAAGGAATTGGTACAAACTTTTAACAAAAGAGCTAGAGTTCAACTCCTGATAACTTACAAAACAATCGAGGAAACATCACCCAGGGACAACAAGTATGAGCATGAGCATGTAGAGAAAGTTCATAAATGTCCAAGTAACAGGATCCATAGTCCTGAATCACGAAAGTATTTCGCCCATTGTGGGAGACACTACACCAGGCAAGGAGACAAGAAGAATCATGAAGAGAATTGCGTCAAATGCAGGATAATGCAGCAAGAGGAGAGGGATAAAGCTCAAACCCATCACGGACTCCTAGATATGGTAAAAGGCCTCGTGGTGAGCAAGTTGAAAACAATCACTGCAAGCGGCGTACTAGATGCAAAACATGATAGTACGAATCACCCGCAGAAGAGGAAACCCCGGGAGATCGATCGCAATACTGCCCAGCTAATGAGTGTCGAGTTATCCCGGGTTACTACATCAAAATTAACGCCAGGCGACGAGCAGGGCTACATCTACATACTTCGCGACTCAAAAAATGGTCTTTTGAAAATCGGGTTTGCCAAAGATCCCAAAGTACGGATTAAACAACACAATAAGTGTGGTCGAGACTTGAAACCTGTTTATGTGACGCATTGCGTCAAGTGGACGAAGCGGGCTGAGCGGATGATCAAGTTGGATCTAAAGCACTTGTGTAGACCTTGGTTCTGTCCATCGTGTCGACAACGCCACGTGGAGTATTTCGAAGTCACAGAGGAGAGAGCAAAAGCGATCGTAGAGAGGTAGATTGACTGGATCAATGGCAATCAGCCCTACAGTTCGGATGGGAACATCACTCCGTTATGGAATCATTTGATCCTGTTCGGCAGAAGACCTAATCAACCGATGGGAACTTATGATCATGAAGCCCGATGGGCCCACTGGAGTTGGGTATTATCCTCGCCCTCAGAAGGCGGTTTAAGACATTTACAAGAGAGCACTGCACAGCACGGATTTGGCCATGATGATGGCCTAATGCCTGCTGGGAAAAAAAGCGATCGAACAATGAGATACGACGACTTATCCACAAAAGTCTCTGTGGCAAGGGTTTTAGGGGTTTGGGTGACTAAAACAGCTGAAAAATCCTGAATCAAGCTACAAAACTACTAACATAGAGACCGCATGTCAATTTGGATGATATGAGCATACAAATAACCTCCCACGGCCCATATTCTTCGCCAAATGCATCAGTTAATTCTAGAATTTTAATGATGAGTGTCTTTGTATTGTTTAAAGTGTAGCTCTTTTCGCCTACTATCTTTCCTACATAATTTTGAGCATTCACAACTTATTTTAGGAACAAAGTGGTTGCACGATCTTCATCGAGACATGAAGTCTCGGCGTGATCTAGCGACTCAACCACGTGAAGTTTTGAGGGATATTTGGTGCCCATCTTCTCTGGGAGAAACATCTTTTTCAAGTCCGGGACTGATATTCGCTTTTAGTAAATCCCACGGCTTCTTCGAAGAACAACGAGCGGTGATTGAACATGTCATATTTCCAATATGGCGAACTCATATGTGCGAACTCATATGTGCGAACTTGGGAGCCTTATGTGATTGAAAAGTACTATTTAGCATCCAGTTTCTCTTCTTGAACTTGGCAATATGCGACCTGATCATATTCTCCCAAACTTTGCCCAATGCATTGGCGCGATAGGATTGAGGACTGGTCATGAGTCGAACACATCACGCTGACGAGACGTTGGAGGCGTTGTCATTGTGCTGACCATTTCCTGCAGAGTAGCCACACATGCAACTTTCTGTCATGTGTTCAGAACCAGACTGAATTTCTCACTGTGCATGAATCCTCCCGATCAGATCAGAGGCCTAACCTTGTGGCTTTGATTCTAATTCAACTACAACAAATAAGGGTGAGAACTCGTAGAAATGGACCACATAAAAGGTCTGACATGCAGAACGGCACATATTGGCCCCTATTATTAGTGGATGCGGTAAAGGGAACTCGCAAAATCAAGTCGCGAGAGTAAAGAAGACGTATGATTACGTAAGAATGTATGGAGTAACATGCGACTTTTCTTCGTTAGATACCCGGCTCCAACTGGGCATAGAACAAAGAACGTTGCACTACTCCTCCATTCTACACAAAAATGCTGGATACTGTCACATGAGCTAACATGTGCTACTTTTTGTTGCATTTTGTATCGCAACAATGTACTCTTCTGAGCTTTGAATGATTGAGTCTTCGCCCCCACATCCACGCTTCGGTGCGCTATGGGTGCGCATCGATTAACCAATGAAAAGGTCTTGTTCTGGCCCCCAATAGCCAGAATGGCAAATGGTCCCAAAGATCGAGCGCGTGACTCGATCAGCCAATAGCGAGAAAAGATTCCGGCCCCAATTACCAAAATAGAGCATTTCAAGCTCTAGACCTGCATTAGCATTCGACCGTTCGAGGATCCCTAGTCGCACCTCAACGCCATGCATCACAAGGCTGAATTGTTCTCTCAGAGCCTTCAATTTCGAGTTCCGCTAGAACAACAATCAAAGCGTGATTATAAAGGTTCATGTGATACCCCGCACCCCAGATCAATCGCGCACGACTAAGTGAATTCTGTCACTTCAATCAAGTCTCCGCCTTTTTTATCACGTACCTAGTTGCGGTATACATTGAAACATCATGGAGACTCAGACGGCAAAACAAAGCACATCTACCGACCTTGGCCGGCTGTGGACACAGGCCATTAGCGACTACAATGCACGAACAGGTGAAGATCTCTCGTCCATGGGTGCACAAAGTTTGGATGGAGCGATGAAAAGTCTAGATGATGGCATGGAGAAATTCAAAGGATTTCGACACGATGGAAGCAAAACGTCCAAGTTCCGTTCAGTTATTGGCAACTCACTTGGTGACATGCAGAAATGCATCGACGGTATTGCTGTAATTGGTTCTGCGGCTGGTGCGTTTCCACCAGCCATGCCAGTAGGACTTGTGTTTACGGCAGCAAGCCGCTTGATATCAGTAAGAATCATTGCATTGCGATGCAACCTTAGACTAATGAAAGCAGGCTTTTGCTGGGGTGAAAGCTGACTACGATCGGGTTGAGTCGTTCTTTGAGTATTCAGGTCGATTTTTTGAGCGGCTATCCCTTCTTGAAGAACGAGCAGAATCTGGACCACTTGCTATCGCTGTTGTCCGAGTATTCTCCATGCAATTATCTGTATGTGGCAGAGTGCGATATCTGATCAAAAAGAAGCGTTTCTGTAAGAACTACAACTCCTCTAGTGGACCAAACTGATGACTCGTAGCACAATGGCTCAATGCGCTCTGGAATATGGAGGACCAAGAGCTGCTGGCTGCATTCGCTGCTATGCAAGCGTCAATCGATGAGCTTAACCAAACTGTTGGATATGAAACTTATAACTCTATCAGGACCGTTCAGGATGAGGTGAAAACAGGAAATGACAAACTCGATGCAGTACAAGAAGACACCTCAGCAAATGCTGCTAAGCTCGATGAGCTTGATGAAAAACTGCGTTCTTTTCGTTCAAGCTTGGGGCAGGATGTTCAGCAGCTCTACATGAGCAGTCTGAAGCTAGAAGTTGTAGTCAGTGAAGGATTTGTTGCAGTCCAAACGAAGCAGAATGAAAGTCATGCTCTGCTTCTTCAACTCCAAAAATCAGTCGAGAAACTGGGAAAGACGCCCGAACACGACGAGAAGAAGAAACAAAGCGGAAAGTCCAAGGGCGACAGTGGTGATCGCAAGTTTCAAGCGTTGCGAGAGATCAAAAAGTTTCTGATAGAAAATTACACAACTTTCCCTTCATGGACCGACGCCCACAAGGAGAACTTGGCGCAAGACGAAGACATGCGAGATTCTCAAGTCAAACACACGGCGAAATGGCTGAATGAACACCCAGACTTCAAGACCTGGGCAGAAGGAGGAAATCCGTTGCTTTGGATAAGAGGTGATGAGGGTATCGGCAAATCCTTTCTGGCATTTTCGGTTGTTCAAGGACTACGCACACTCAAAAATGAAAAGAACAGCTTTGCCTATTTCTACTTCAAAGAGGAACACCCATACCTGCAGTCAGTACAAAATGCTTTTGCATCAGCCGCACTTCAGATTGCCGAATCGAACAACAAGTATGCAGAGCAAGTAGCAGCAAATATTAGGGACAATGCCGCACAATCGGAAGACATATCAACTTGGGAGCGGTTCTTCATTTCAATGTTTCCTGGCAAAGAAAAGTCTGACAGTCGGCTATTCCTTGTTCTAGATGGCCTAGACGAGGCTCATATCCAGCAGGGTGGTATCATGACGGAGTTTCTATCCGACTTGAGGCTCGAGAATGCCAACGTTTCGGTGTTGCTGACGAGCAGGCCAGAAGAGAAGCCCATCATACAGCTCTTCGACCCCTCTGTCATCGATGTCACCAAGCAAGAGATAAAGCCGGACATCAAGGCGCTAGTCAAAAGTCGCCTTCATTCACTACCACGAGTGCGAAAATTCAGCCACGCTGTGAAAAGAGCAATCACCCGCAAGGTCGTCAAACAAGCAGATAGTATGCTTTATGCTGAGCATGTGCTGCGAAGGTTCTCCTACATTGGCCGAGAGCGAGCTGTCTTGGAGGAACTGGAAAAGATGCCAGACTCTCTACATGATCTTTATAAACTTCTTCTGGACGAGTGCCGCCACAATCGGTCTGACGCTCAATATCAAGCGCTAAAGAAGCTTTTTGCATGGCTGGCCTTTTCGAAACGATCCCTCAGTCTGGCAGAAGCCTCGAACTTGGTGCAGTTGACGTTATCAGACAACTCCTTCGATATCGAGGAAGAAATCATTGGGCGCTCATCCCGTATCTTGGAGCTTACACAAACCCGGCAGACAGAGGAGGATACTAAAGAAGACGATAAAGAAGATGACGAAACCGACGACACGAAGGACGATTTTGTTTTTGAGCTTGGATATCGAGAATCGCCTTTGTCATTCCAAGATCGCTCTCTGCGACAATACTTCAAGAGCGTGAGCGTTGATGCCGATGGCACTGAAGAATTCCGGACACCTGCTTCTGCTGCTCACCTCACGATCCTACAGATGTGTGCAGACATTATGATCAAAGCGGCAAAAGATCCAGAAGACCAAACAAGCTCAGGAGTATCGCTGTATGCAATCCAATATTGGTACGAGCATTTGAAGGAGCTGGACGTTGAGAAGTCGACAGATGCGACGATATGCCAAGTGGTAACTTTGTTGTACAGCATAACGCAAAACACGAATAATGTTGCAAAGTTGTTTGAAGAAAGAGCAAGGCATGTAGAACTCTACCCTGAACGAGCAGACGATACACCTTCAGCATGGTTCGATACACTCTTGATTTGGGCGGCCAAGGCATCCTCATTCGCAGATGAATCTCTGGATAGTGAGGTAAAAGAGTGGGCGCGCACTGTTAACAAGGACAATGTATTACTTTTGTTGGCAAAAGGACATGTTCAAAATTGGTTGGATGCTAGAACTCAGTGGTGGATACCCGAGACCTTTCGATTCGTCAAAGCTGCTCTTCGATTGGTAAGTGCCCTTGTTTTATAATCGCAACTATTCTAATTGAATGTAGGCCAACCGGCTACAAACAACAGACGATGAGCCACTAAAGCTCATCCAAGAGATCACCTCGCAATACGATGTTCCCGCTGAGGATTATAAGACTTTGAGAGCGATCGGCGCCACATTGTGCGACTACGGATACGACTATTCGGATGCAGAACGTCAGAAGGCGATGTTGACTGAAGGAGCTTCGTACCTTAAGCAAGCCGTCGAGCGTATGGAATGCGACAACCAAGAAAAGATCGAAACACTTCGCCTTCTTGCACCAAAGTATCTGTGGATCGATCAACATTCGGAAGCGATCAAGTACTACGACCAAGCATACGACATGTTGCCGGACCCAGATTCAGAGGGACTGACCAAAGCTCAACAGATCGAGTTCATGGACATTCGATTGGACATATTGACAGCCAAAGCTAGTGCCTTTGAAGAAATGAAACAAACTGAAGACGCCCTCTGCATCTACAATGAAGCTAGAAGATTTTCAGGAGAAACGCCTCTACCTGGCGCGCGACTTGACGACATCACCCTCTTGTTCAAGGAGGAAAATGACCCCGATGGTTCGAAACTCATCAAAGAATTGAAAACATGGACAGAAAAGGAGCGAAATAATTGGTTCCAATATTGTTTCGAGGGTTGGGTAGACAGTAACGCGGTTACTCGTATGCAAAGAGCAGCCAAATTGACGGGCGAGACTGACCTGCTCCTCGGCTGGCTCTATACTCTGGCAAAGACTCTACCAGAGGAGAGCTATTATCTGTTCAATGTCCGAGGCGCAATCGCGAACCTGTATTATCCTGTGATGGGAGATATTGAAAAGGGAAAAGCTTTGCGCCAGGAGATCTTATCCATGAACCCAAAACCTGAATCCTGGTTCGAGGAGACCATGAACGAGAAGAAGACGGAGCATCGACTGAAGCTTGCTCAGATCCTGTTCCACGAGTTCCAGAACTGCTCAGATCCAACGAAGAAGGAAGCGCTGATCGAAACTTTGAGGACTCTGCCGAGCGCTCATGTGGATGACGACCTTCAAGAATCCCATGTGGGTATGCTACTTGCAAACATGCTCCGGATCATGGGTCCTGCAAAGGAATACCAGAAGCACATGAACGACCTATTCTCTGCCTGTATGCATGGTCTTGAGGATAGTGTATCGTGGAACGACTCATCCAGTCTGAGGCTCCTATCCAAGGTCTTGGGTTCTTTGGATGGCCTTGAAAGAGACGCAAAGATCGCTTGCACAGCGCAATTTTCGATACTGGACCGGAGCGTACACTATCAAAATAGTGGCACTGATGTTTCTGAGACTGATTCCAACGGTGATAGTACAGAAGAAGACGCAGAAAATAAGTCTGGAGAGGAAGTTGTACCTGTTGCGGAAACTGCACCTACGATTGAAACTGCAACATCCGACAATGATCCCGTGACCGACGGGAAACCTGCGAAGAATGGAGAATCTGATTTGCTAGACGGCCAACTAGAGACTGTGGGGGGCTCTACTACTGATTCAGCAGTTGCCAAAAGGAGAGACTCTGCAGAAGTTGCCGAAGCTCCACAACAGACAGGAGAAGCACAAGAATCCACCTCGTCTGAACAGGACGCTACTGAAGCAGATTCAAACAATCTTGACGAGGATCTTACTGGAAGCGGAATCTTCTGCGATGGAGGTTGCGGAACAGACATGAGTAGCTGGGTCAAGCCTATATACTATTGCTTGGTTTGTGTCAACTGCGATCTGTGCGAAGACTGCCATTCCAAACGACTAGCGCAGACGCGCGGAGAGATCGCGGAACCATGGCATAGCTACTGCGGCAGAGATCACCGGTATATCAAGGCACCTATGAAGGGTTGGAAAGGTGTGAAGGATGGTATCATTAGGATTGATGGTGAGGAGGATCTGTCAGTGAAGGACTGGCTGAAGGGTTTGAAGGAGGAGCGATGGCAGAAGGCATGGGAAACGTTCTGGACTCGACAAGGTGGTCTGAGGAATATCGGGATTGACGATTAAAAGATATCAATGGTATGTAAAGGGATCTTACACGCGATAGTAGAAACCATCCATCGTAGGATCTGGGTGTAAAACATCAACTATACGGGTATATTCCAGTCTGCTAAATCGTCTTGATTGGCCAAGGATGATCTTCGTTGGCAGAGTGCAGTTTGCATCCCAGATTGCCTTCGGTACACGTTTCACTGCACGCCGGTATGCTATTTCTCCCTTACATTCAACGTATATTACATTATAAAAATGGTACTTCTACCCGTCTAAGCCTTCTATGCCATATAACTTCATCTCCTTCGTAACTGCTGTAATTCTGTTAGTTTGGTATCGCATGAGACTCCATGCTTCAGGTGATAACATAGAACCGCCAATGTCATACTGACCTAGATACTTGGAAGTCGTTTCAAATGCTAGATCATCGCTTTCATCTGCTTCCATGCTCAGATTATACAGCTTGTTAGCTTCGTTGCCTTCGACACCGGTGGAGTTGCTGGTTCTTGTAGATATGGCTATAAGCTCCACCGTTTCGTCTAGCCTGAGTTCATTCTTCTCCATATTGCGTAGTACATCAGCAGGAAGTATTTCCGGGGGTTTTAGATGAATTAGACCGCGAACGTCCTGTAGGGGTGGCCCTTTGGCGAATGATGGGAGCTCGAATATCGATCCCCATTTGGCCCTGCGTTTCGCCTTTTTTCCCCTATGAAGCAAGAGGCGAATGAAAGACATCTTTAATGTCCAATGATAGACATAATATCTCGTAGGAAAGGAAAGGCCAGATATCTTGAGGCAGAGAGACGTATTACGGACTTACACCAAGCGGTGTGGGACTGGAAAGTGATGTTGGTGCTCCATCTTGAGGGATCAATGGCCTATCTGCTGGCACTTTGTGCTGCATATCTTCGGGCAGATAGTATTATTGTACAAGCTTCTGTGTTTTCCAAACAGGTAATTGAGACCCATGATAATCTTTGTTAAAATACGACGATCAAGTCCGCAGATGGTATGGGTCGACAGGATAAGTCCACCCACGCCGTGACCATGAAGGCAGGTGCGTTCTTGCCGTCATTGTATGTACGATCATCATCGTCTATTGTTACTCTAAGATGAGTCTTGTGGAATGGTTGTCATAGTAGTGCAGTATCCAGATAGATACGAGGTAAGCCGTACAGAATTTAAAAGGAAAATTGCATCCCAGGGTTTACAAGACACCGGAGAACGCTGGAAGAACATCCTGCGGGTACTAAAAAACGCAGCGGTTGTAAAGACTGATCCATGTCGCGTATAGATCGAAGTCAGGGTAAGAACTGAATAACATGCTAGTAGCTTGGTCGTAGTGTCGAGCCGGGAAGGAAATACTCCCGCTTGTAGTAGTTTCTAGGCTTAGTCCGTCTCCGCTCCGAGTACGTTGCTGACATTCCCAAAACGTGTAGCGCTGGTTGGAGACAACAGCTCTTTTTGAGAGCATCTGATCCTAGAAGGTCTAGCCACGGGTGGCCCACGTGGATCTGTAGAGATCGTCGTAGAGATACTCTACCTTGTTGTCTATTTTAGAGCTGCGGAAAAGATCACTGATTCTCCGTAGCCTGCCATAGGAATCTGCAGATATGATCGTCAAATATGCACCAGAATGTATATCGCTCATATGGTTCACATGTCCGCGTATGCTATCGTCGTCCTGGACAATACATAAACAGTCAACCCATAGGTATTTCTCCCCAAGCTTGGGAACTAAAGAAACGGCTTCCTTGATAGCATTGGGAAGATTCGTGAATGTCTCTTTTAGATATTAAGGTGGTTGGAAGTCTGATAAGTTGAGCTTCTTCAACAGGATACTGTCTGACGGACGCGATGTCATGTCATTGCCCAAGCCTTGTGATCATACGTAGCTCAAAGCGACGTAACGCGAAACCGTGTTTCTAAGGACCAAGCACCCCTAAATTATGTATGTCGATAACTTACTGTGGAAATTGGCGAGATAATCTATGTTCAAGAGGTACTGGCCGAGTATGTCTTCCGTGTTGAGCGTCGCAAGCCTCTATCCAATAGATGATGTGCCGAGAAAGGATGTCGCCGGCGGTTGTTGGTGGTAGATCTTCGTCAAGTTTACCACTGTTGAGCAATAGTTCCTTCACCTTATCGCTTTGAGAGGTTGTAGACCACATGAATAGTATTACACCAAGCTTTTTACTACAATTCGCATCGACTTTGCCGGTGCTGAGTAACATCTCCGCAATTCTGATTGATTGATTCGTCCGTGAAGCCCAAGCCAGAGGTGTAAGACCACGTGCGTCTTTGACGTCGGAATCCATCCTTCCAATAGCAAGCAAGAATTCCACGACGCTCCCTTACCCCATTGCAGCAGCGGATAGTGGAGTTTCCTTGAAGCATATTAGAACTACGTCTAAGATCCCATGAAAGCATGATAGGGATGCCATTTGATGTAGTAGTGGTAGTAGCAGTAGCAGCAGTAGTGGTAATAAGCTTGGCGATGATATTGACGGCTGTCAATAAGTAAATGCTTCCTAATCAAGCGTAATGGCCTCGTTCGGCCTTTTCACCTTTTTTGGCACAAAAGACTCACAGAAGAATAGATACAACCCCACTGCCTACTGCCCAGCCTCCGACTTGACTCATCACCATAACCTCTTGCCACTTTACTCGAGCCCCATGCGCCAATGAGTTCGAAAAATAAAATCAACACAGAGTGCGTAAAGAGATGAAGGAAAATCATGGCTCCTTCACGATGTGCGAAGGGCCTGGTGGGTGTTGGTCTACACATCGATATTCGATCTATGCACTGTTTGGACTACAGTACCTGCCTCGCACGCCGTGCTCGACGAAAAACAGTAGGAGCTATGGCAGTACAGAAACTTGTGATGCGCTTGGTCGCCGTTCTGGGATTGTTGCGTGCAAACAAATCAGTTGCACAACTATCCATCAAAGGCTCAAGAGCTGAGCCACCCATCCGGGCACTATTGCAGGAACCCCTGCGTCGCGTATAATTACCTTAGCAATATACAAAACTGGCATAACAACAATTGCAAGTGGCTCAACATCATCAGGTTTGTACCCGCGGTTTGGCGCATTGAGTGCACGGCCATGGTACTTTGGCCAGCCAGCCAGCCACATGATCATGGCCTTCATCAGTCTTGTTCACAAGATACCTCAATGATCAAGTATATGCACCTGTCAACCCCAGTCACATTCTGGTCAGTTGTGACAATGCTGCCAACACTCCTTGGGCTCCAAAACCTGGCGAATAGCCGAGTCTCGTTGTAATGGGTCGTTGCGCTAATGCTGTCGATATTCATGAAGAACGCCACTGCTTGGTGGCGCCCTAGCGGATGCGGGTCGACCCTTGCGCTAAGCGATGTTGCGGGGGTCCATCGGAGAGTAATCCAGAGCGCTCTAGAAGCGCTGCGGCCCGCATGAATGCCGTATTCAGAAGATGTTAGTAAACGCAATTGGGTCTAGGTAAGTCTCAATCTTAGCCGTTCATTCCTCTATCTAGCCAGCCACTTAGCAAAAGCTGAACTCTATCGGCGAGTCCGCCCACCAGTAACCTGTAAATCCACTATCGTATTATGACGCTTTTGGTGGCTTGCAGCAGTGATCAAGTGACTTCAAAGTTGGTATGCAATAGTTCACGTACAGTGATAGGATCGACATCTGTACATAGCGGTGAGCGGTGTCAAAACTACACCTGTCCTTGAGTTTCCAGAAGATTCTTTTATGATTCATAGAGTAAGGTATACTTCGCTATCTTGATCTGTAATAAATAATTGAATCAGTTGCTGTAATATACATGCGCGGTTGTCTTGTGAAATTTGGAGATATCGGTGTATAACTAGGTTTCGTAGAAGCAATTAAAATTTACAACGAATATAAGACAACTAGGTATCAATTTGTTGAAAATGATGGCTGGTAGAACTTCGACGCAGAAAGGTCTGGTGCATCCCCTTATCTCGTAAGCCAATGGCTTGTAATCCTACTATCTACGTGTACATGGGTATGAAATTCCAATGGGAAGAAAAGATAGCAGAGCATACAAAAGGGATAGATAGCAGTTTTCAGTGACTTCCGAGAGGTGTTTGAATGCTAATTTTCATCGTCCAAAAATCGCTCGTAGCATAAAAATCAGTGATCCAATCATAAGGAATCCAGAAGAGGAATTTCGATACACCCATCGAATTTTGACAAAGAATATACTTTGAACTGTCATCGTAACCAATAGCCAGGACCGCATGTGCGGCTTTTGGCAAGGACACCTTGGAGTGCCTTGGCTTTGCCATGGCATGAATTTGCCACATGCCATTTGGTCCGTCCTTGTCCCATACAGCATCCCCAATCTTCCAAGTAAGACTGAAAACCACCGGGCGACAGTCAGTAAGGCAAGATAGGACATTGCCAAGGACATTGTCACCATCTGCATCCATATCTATGGTTGAATCAGGCCCTTTTGCGTTACGATGGACATCCAGGCGCTCATGCGTCGATATTTTGTGCCTAAGTGCCTCTTGGAAGCAAGTCTCGGGCGGCTTCACATTTGTTTTGAGTCTATCATAGGGCCAAGAAGCTTCTGAGCATACTCCATACTTTTCCAGACTTCTGAATGCGTGACGTATGAAGCACCCTCTATCTGCAATATTTTGGGACACTGCAATTCGAGCATTGTAGTAGATGAAGAGTCGAGATGGGACGATCGCCTCTCCAGGAATACCGTTGAGAGCATTGTGTTTGCGGAGCTCAAAGAGATAACAAGCCGCGGTTGCATTCGCAACGCAGGACCCCATCTGACCTTGTTGGAAGTAATCTTCAAAGAATCCTCGAAATCTTGGGTCTGTACGAAGATTGATGGTTGGTGCAATCTGTAGTCCATGGGGCTTTTGGTATGGATGCTCTATGCCAGTGAAGGTGCCATCCGGTTTTGTCATCACTCTGATCTGTAAGACATATTAGCTCGGGTAGAATCACTTATCACAGCAAAATCTCTAACCATCAGAGAAGATCTCTCAGTTGGAGGATAGTCGCTAATGCTGATAGTCGTGCCATGATCTTGGAAGGTCATACTGCTTAATGACACGAAATATGACCTACTGTCATGCACTAAAGCTCTGAAATTTTCTATGCAACGGCAGAAGTCATCTAGAGTTGTATATTAGGAAATTGCGATCTAGACTTAGCAATTGGCTAAAGCCGCGTACGTATACCTATTTTCGACTAGTTGCGCCTGACATACTTAGCTAGTTTCGGACCCGCTTCGCCTTGATCCGTTCAACACGAGCAATGCCTCGTTTGACGAAGACGCCACAGTGGGCCGCTCTCGTTTGTGCAGGAGCTAATACGCGCTGCCCTGACTCTGTGGCGTTGCCACAACATCATTAACACGGTTTCACCCTATAAGATCGGCAACGGACTTCCAAGCATTTTGATTTGCTCAATCTGTAGTGGAATTTGGCATTGTTGGCAACTGCAATGTAGCCAGACATTTCAATACTCACTTAATCATTTCGCGAGCTACCGCCGACGTAAATTCCGGACACGATCTCAAGACGACCCCATATTACAAGACCATAAATCAACACCTTTGAGTCGCGTATCCTCTCGTTAAAAACTAATATCAGAAACACATCGAATATTGTCAAGGTCTCAATAACAAAAAAGTCACTTTCGCGATCGAGTTTCTGAAGAGAATGAATGGATTTATCTGTTGCTATTTCTGACTGCCAAATGAGTGCGTGGATGAAATGAAGTCACCATATCTAAAAGAGTGCCGGTACCAATAACCTCCCCTCAAGTGCATTTAAAAGTTGTGCAGAGGATCTCCAATGAGTCCGGAAAAGTACTTGGCGATATCCTTAACACCTCCAGGGATTGGGGCCAAGTTGATAACTGCGAGAGCGCCATTGCCCAACTTCGAATACAAGGTTGACACAAACCTCCACTATAGGTGCATCAAGGTCAGCACAGCTTCAGTTCTAGAATATCGTTGACATAAATGCTCACCTGGAAGGGATTGCGAGACTTGTCGTGGAAGACCAGGAAACGGCCTTCTCCCTGCTTGTTCTTCTGACCGTATTGGAAAGAATCATCCACCGTGATTGTGAAGGAATCACCAGAAGATTTGGCCTTCAAGGCGTCGAGCTTGCCTTGCTGGATGAAAATGTAGCTCTGCTCATCGTCTGTTTCATGAAGAATTAGAAGTGATATGTTGGGTATTTGAGGTCTATACATACTTTTATCCTTGTTCGTGAAGACGGCCATGTAATATGTGTCGGACTTCTGGGAAAGGTTCTGTTGCCAGTTTACAGTGGCAGGGTTGGCGGCAACATCGCCCTCAGCGATGAAGATCTTATTTCCCTTTTCGACAGTCATGACGTAAGATTTTCTGAACTGAGAAGATAGAGACTGAAAATGAGGTTTTTTAGTAGATGTTGAGATTGAAGAGTGAGCCGAATGTATGTGTTTGTGCGTGTTGATGTGAGTGAAGAAGGGGTATTTATGTGCGTTTTATCTTGGTGTAATTAACCAAATTGGGTTGTTCTCGCAAGCCACACAGCTCCCAATATGTGTGAACTATCACATTATTCTTTGTACAGCTGAACATTTTTCGTATTGTAGGATCTAGAGCGTGGTGGAGTGGTCTCGAACGCGGCCATTCAGTTGTGACGGTCCGTTCCCTACGCATGTCCGGCCTATTTGGATTCTTAACGCGATTCAAGACCCGATGGCGAGAAAATAAGCGACTATCAAGCGGGCATGATGTAAAGATCTTCGTTGAGGGGGCAGCCAGCCTATAAGCTGAGACAACTCCTCCGCTACGGCGCTAAGCTCATTCGTGCAAAATTGTGAGATTCGGGCCAATCATCCAAGCTAAATGTGGTGGAGTAGTCTCAGATGATCTTTTCTCAGCTGTGACGGTTCAGCCTATTTGGGATGATCGTCTTAGCGGAACTAGAAATGCATCGGATACGGTGTGAGCTGTCACACCGCAAGGTTCGGCTTCTGCCTGTACTATCTGAAATCAACTCTAAGCGACACTTATGACAGCGCCACGCGCGCTATTGAGGGGAATCCTCCAATGCATGTCGCAACTCTTGACTTTCAGCTCTCATCATGGCCTTCAAAGCATTGGCAAAACATTTCTATCGCCTAGTGTCCGGGAGACCATTATTGGATGATTAGTTGCTGTTCAACACACTGCTGCTTAAAATCCGGGTTATGAAGCGGGCATTTCTCGATATAGCTAGAACTCAAATCCAATGCTTTTACCATATGACTATAAAATGCCAGATTATCTTCAAATCGTCTGGCAAAAACGGCAGTCTTGATCTATACATCAGAACCAAAGAAACTACAAGTGATTACTTTCGCGCTGTCATATCTAAGATGTAAGCTGTTTCTATATCTATGTCTTACGCATTACTGAGTCATATAAGAACCCAGATATGGCCACAGAACACGTCAAGTCGCATCACAACCCTAGCCCCCAAGAACTGAGGGCATTTGTAAATGTACTCCTTGACAAGGACATGCCGGTGTATATTCAAGATCCAGATATACAAACCTCTTTGCTCCTTCAGCAACATGAGGACGAAGAGGTTGCACCCATGTTTTACTTCTCTGAACACCGCTACCTCGGCAACAGAATTCAATTGCCTGGTCACGACAGCTCTGGAGACCACGTAGCGGCCAGCAATCCCTTTACTTTGCAGAATGGGCTTGTAGTCACGTACGGAGATATCAATGCACTTTCTGGAGACTATTTTGGATTGATGACTCCCATCTCCAGAGGCATCACGATGAAAGACCGCATTGATCGTTTCCAACAGAGCTTTAACTTATTGAACGTGGGTGAGGTTGGCAAAAAAAGGGCAGAAGCCGTTATTGCCAAACTGAAGGTTCTTATGGCTGCAGTGGATGATGCCATCGAACATGACCCAAAGGCGGCTCACAAAGCTTACCAAGACCATCCTCTGGATATCGACGCGCTCAAACAGGTGACAGTGGCCTATAAAGCTGGGGCCGATTTCGATACCCTTGCGCTCCACAACATTGACCACTTTGGCCCTGAAGCTCGTTTGACATACAATGCTGGTCACGCCCTAGCTCTTCAAGTAGCTTCACAAGGTGACCTTCAACAGGCATATGCTATTAACGCCTTTGCAGACCACTTCCTGCAGGACTCTTTCGCAGCTGGCCACGTTCGAGTCCCGCGAAACGCTCTCTACTCTCTCGACGTCAAGGTTGACTTTTCCACTAGCTTCTTGAAGGCGATTGCATCAAATGTCAGTACCTTCTTTAAACTTTGGCTACTTCTAACGTTGTCATGGCAGGTTATGCATGATGAGGATGGCAATCTGGGACTACATGTCCAAAACCCGGCTGGAGAGAAGTGGAAGATCTATGGGGATACCAAGCTCTTCGACCCGGTAAACAGTAATAACCTTCACATATGCACTGAAGCTATCAAAGTATCGGTTCAAGAGGTCTACGATGCCTACAAGCTCCGCAAAGTCATTGATGAGTCACAATTCGGCGCATGGGAACTGGCTCCAACTCTGGACCTTGTCTCGTTGCATCCAGAGAATCATCTGCCACTTCTATTTGTTAAATCGGATGGCAAGATCTACAAACGAAACGGAAATCCAGGAGAGGGAGTATTGTTGGACACTATCTGGGACTACGTGGGGTTTTTGCTCGAGAATGTGAACATGCTTGAAAAACAGATTCAGCTACAAATTCAGAAGATCATTGGCAACAACTTGAGCACACTGGTGGGTGGGCTATCAAATGGTCAGATAGCGCATTGAGAGAAGAACAAAGGGAATCCCCAATATACGACCTAGTTTTCATTCCACTACATATCAAATCAAGCAACTGCTTGTTCGAGCATCTCTATACGGTCTTGGGTGGTATCAAACTGGGTCCGCAGGTCGTAAATTTGATGGATGTGGATCTTACGACCAGGATCTAAGACGACTTTGGCAATGACATCCTTTGCAGCAATTAGATCAAGTAAAGCGTCCAGCTCATCTTGAACATTGCGCAGCTCTCCAGTCATGGCTTTGCGTTCCCCAAACTCTTTGCAACAAGCAGACTCACGTTGTGATCTAGTAGCAATGTCATCCTGTTGTTCTGTGAACAAGGTGGTCTTGAGGCCATTACTAGTCAATAGCGCTAGTCCTAGAGGTTTCTGGGCCCGAGTAAAGGATTGGTCGTGTTCGTGATCGGCGTCTTCGATTTTTTTGAAAGAACGCCGTCCATTCCAACGGTGGGCTTATGAATCTACTACTGAGACATAACAGACTTCTTCAGTAACATTGCCTGAATGATTTTGGTGCCATGTGTGGCTTCTATGAGCGGTTCAGCGACCTGTAGGCTCACGGCAGCAACGTTGAGGCCAGCATACCTTCGTCGCCGGATCGACGGCATTTGCTGCAGTCAGCGCCGACCACTATATGGCCTACCACTATATGGACGAGCTTATTCGAACAAGAAGCTGGGCCTCGAATATCACACTTAACCTTTGACGGTCTTTAGGGTTCAGTCGATTAGCTTTCTATATAATTTTGTCAGCACTAGGTTATACTTTGCCTCCAATCATCGATCAGTGCTTAATGAAACATGTACTTCAGTTCATGACATGGATTTTGGCTATTAAACCTATATGAAATGTGTAAATGGCTCGGCTGAAGGAGCTCTGCCGATCTTCAAGAAAATCTAGGAGACAATGCTAGGTAACGAATTTATATTCTATGGGGGACTAAGCTCTACGCTACTTAGCTATCAAAGTGGTGCACGATAGCAAACGTAAATTCTAATTAAAATCACAAAACGTGATCATGTATAGGAAGCGTACTGTGTCGCGATGGCCGAACACGTTGAGTGGTGCGATTCACTGGAGCAAAGGTTGAACGACCCCGTTGAAAGTAAAGATTTTTTTTCCAGTGTAGATTGAAACTCTTTTTATAATTAGTTCCCTTAGTAAGGTAAAATAAGAAAAACAAGAGCAAAAATACGCCCGTTCTACTCCATCTCCTTTCTCGTCTCTCTCGTCTCTTTCCCTTATCCCTCTAGCGTCTTTCTTACTACCTTCTGTTTCCTTACCCCTCTCTCTTTCTTACTCTCTTCTTATTTACTCTTTAAAAGAAATAGTACAAAACAAGAGAAGGAAGAGAAAAGAGCGAGGGGTGAGAAACACAAGAGGCGTAAATTTATATCACTAGTGAGTGTTAGAGCGGTTTTACATACTTGTCTAGAATAGGGATAGATAGCACGGCCGCAGATAATCGTTGCTGTCGCAGTGTCAATGAATCACGTGATCCGTCCGATCATTTAACTATCTGATCTTTATCAGATAGTGCGATTAATAGATCAGACGATTGAGGGATTATATCACTAAATAGAGTTAGGCTTCGATTAACATTATATAGTCTAATGAATCTATTGATCTTAATTAGTAGATAGATCGGTCAGTCCATCATCTCAATATATTCCCATTTATTCAGAGTTTTTCAGCTCTCACAGTTACTTAGTCCATAGGGGTTTCAAATTTGCCCTTCACAGGTCGATGACTCGGAAGAAACCTGCTCCTTCGTTTTCATTAACGGCATTCTAGTAGTAACGAAGTTGTAAGTCGCATACGCCCTTCCCACACATATTTCAGCGTGTTTTCCATCAAGTACCTTTTCTCTCATCTAATCAGACCTCAACAATCGAAGGTATTAAGTTTCAGACCACCATGTCTTTGATCAGAATCTGATGTTATGTTTAGCAATGATGCTCCCTCGCAGCCTCTTTTTAACGTCTACGATTGTTATCGGGCGAGCGGTTGCGACAGCTCTCAAATGTCAACTCGGAAAGGATTACCCACATTTCGTCAGAGGTCTTCTAACGTGCGCCCAAGACGGTTTGATAGTTGGCAGCTCCACTGGGCCAAACATATCTAACTGCATTCCAACTCCCATCAACCCGTTGGAGCCCGGCCAGCAAATCAGCATGGGTGTATTTCAACTCCAACGCACAGAGTTAGCGGATATTCACCAGTACATCATTACCAATACGGAGCACCAAGGTGGTGGAGCGACCAACGTACATGTGGCGCTAGGAAGCATTTTCAAAGGAACTAAACTTTGGGATTTATATTCTTTACCCGCTGGGGCATCATGTATTGCTGAAGAGACTGCTGGTGATATTGTCAAAATTCAATTCACCTGTTAGCTATCACACCAGGTCAAGTTGTATTTCTTTCATCCACCTTATTATTATAAAGAATATAAGATAGGTTAGTTAAATAAATACTGTATTTATTTAAAGATAGCTTATATAAGAATTCATATAGCTAGTTATAAATAGATAAGTAGTAGATAATAAAGGTTAAAAGTAGATATATTATAGCGAGCTAACGATATAATTATAGAATTTAAGCTTCTTCTATAGAAGGCCTATAGACTTAATGTTGGAGATCTAAGCTATTCAGCTGATCTCTAATAGAATCAATCCATCAATTTCTAATTTATGTTGGGACGATACCGATCCCTGACCCAAGTTAACATTACACCCTGATCTCAATGATCCAAGCAATCTATCGATCCCTGATCTAAGCTATCTATCTATTACGCAATCTATTACTAAGATAGATTCTTCTAGAATCTAGAGCAGCTAGTATATATAGAGGTAGAATAACTAGTAGATAGAGAGTAGAGAAGATTACAACTATAAGAGCAGATCATAAGAACAAGATCAGACTACTAGATCAGATCAATCCAATCCTTATCTCTCTCCCCTAGCATTATCTCTTTTCTATCTAGAATCTATCGACTA